GGTCTAATGGTAAAAATAACTTGGTTTCAAATCTCAATAGGGTGAGCTGAAATAAATTACTATCAATTACAAGTAAAGGGGCATAGATTAGGTTTAGGTAAAATACATATGCTATAGGTACCTATCTTTTATTATACCTACATCATCATTTTGTGATTTCTATTTGATGCTTTGGTACTTTCATAACCAAATGTCGTAGTTCTGATAATAATTATTCTATCTTTCTTCTTTTCTAACAAATTAAAAATAAATAAATGGAATAATTCAACTAACCCCACCTACAATGCAAAAATACCCAAGATAATTTTACATGACTATCACCTTCGACCGGTCCGACCCTGTATCTCCATCATTTTGCCGATGTTAGAGATCGTGGGAGACGAGCATAGACATATAATAAAAGAGGAGACAGAACATCTCATTCAAAAATCATTATTTGTTTACAATCATACATACCGCCAGAGTTATACATAAGTTAGAAAAAGACGGGCCTAAAAAATGGCACCACTGTAACCTGCCCCTCCATTTCCCTGGCTGCCTTTATCAGAGGCGTGCGGTTTTTCTAGATCATGAAAAATTAAGACCTCAAAATATACAATTAACCACACCACTGTTCGGGCTGAAAAAAACATAACCTCACGTACCGTCGAAATACCAATCCAGGGTTAGAATAGGCAATTTTTTCACAGATCACGCACTGGCGAACCATTGTAGTTGCTAATAAAATATAAAAGACGGAAAAAACACTGAAAATTGATTGAAAATCGCAAATATTCCTAAACACAGCACAGCAACACTGGATAGTCAGTTTTTGACAAAAAATGAATGAATGTGTCAAATCCCGTGTCACTGGAGTAAACAGAGTTGCCACAGCTATTTCCCTAATACATTATAAATTTACGTTATTCAGAAACCAATAATTTTAAAAGTAGAAATTACAGATTTTTTTTGGAAAAACGCACATTCATATGTGTAGTAGCATTTTCAATTGAGATGACACAAATAAAGAATGCAATATAATCATCATTCCCTACGTTTTCAAACACAGGCGGTAGATGTAGGGCAATCCGCAGAAATTCGCCAACATTGATTTCTGGCGAAAACAATGTTTGATCGGGAGAAAATGTAAACAATTCAGTCTCTCTTTTATTATATGTCTATGGAGACGAGTTGTAGCTATTCCCAAGCAGTAAATAGGCAGCGCCATCTATCGCGAACATACTTAAAGCATTGCAAAGGTTTTCAACTAGGCAATATTTAGCAACAAAACTAACTCAAATTGTTATAAATTATATATCACCGGATAAGCAAAAAAAGGAACTTTGATTCCCCTGAAGAAGATTTTTGTTTTAAATTCCTATTTTGAAGCAATAGGCCGTCGGCGGAGGAGCGTTTGCGTTCAAAAACCCGGTATTGAGGTATAATTTATTGAGACTAGTTAGTACCATATGATTCAGCATATTTTTCTTGATAGAAAATCGAAATGGACGACTTTTTTCATTGGTCGAGAGCTAAGTTAGGAGCAAAAAATTAAAAATATACGGAAACTAAAATTTCCAACTTTAACCTCGTATAACTTCAAAACCGCTCGAGATAATAAAATTATTTTTGCTCTAGATTCTAGACAAATATATTCTCTTTTATATGGTGTATATATTGTTCGAAAAATATTAAAGTAGAGCTCAAAAAATCAGTTATTTCGTAGGGACGGCGCGAATGAGTAAAATTTATGTTTGCTTTAACCTGCGATAACTCTTTAATATATTGGAGTATTAACATAATTTAAAAACTGGGAAATTTAATTGGCTTTCTTTCGTCTCAATTATATACCGACCTATTTTCAATAATAAACTAACTAGAGCCGTTTTAACACAACAAAGCGCGGTCTGGCGGCAGAAGTTGCGTGGCCCCCTCTCATTCCCCCTACCCGCTGACAACCACCGGCATGCATTAAAAAACTACGTGTGATGCCGTAGACTGCATGCAATGATATGACAGTCAATTTTACTTGTTTATGGAACTTTGTGTTCTATTTTAAAAAGTCTAGTTTATCGGGTTCTGCTTGCATCAGGAGTTATAGCACAGGTAAGATTATATTATCAGTAACTAGTAGGTAACACAAAAAGTGAACTGGAAAATATCCATAACTTTTGGGAAACTTGTAAGAACGAATGCAATTAAGTTAAAAAAGAGAACGGGTGCACGTCAAAACTTTAAAAATTAATTAAATAGATAGGTAGGTGGTTGTTCTGTGAGCCGATAATAAGTTATTAGTATCTATTATCCCGTAATTTCAATAAGTGTGGTTGCTCTAAGTAAGTGAGCATCTAGGTACCACTTGTCCAATTAATTGTTATATTTGACAGATCTCTCTTTTACGCTTCACGTGATTTTTTTCATTTTTTAGACGGACTAACATTGACGTCATGGATAATTATGTTTTATGTTGCAAAACATTTTCGGCGGAATCACCTTGTGGTCGTTGTGTTAGAAAGCTAACAAAACAGAGCTACGCGACAATTTTTTCTGCAGCAGGGTACTACTCCCTGCTGTACCTTTACTAATAGATATTAAGTTTTTCTTTTTATTGGTGCCGCTTTTACCACAAATTAAGCAGTCAGCTTTTATAATAAACTTCTCCTTACTACTACGACCGCTGCTTCATGGAAATACTTTCATTATGTTTGGGTTATTTATTTAATTTCACTACTTTGTCAATATTATTTTTGCTGCAAAAACATCTTCTGCAACATATATGATGTTTGAATATTTAGGGAGTTTTTTCCAAATTTAATTGAGAAACGGTTAGATGTATTTCAGAAATCGTCAAAAGTAATTGAAAATAGTCAAATGTAATTGAGAATGCGTTAATTCTATTCGAGGATGGGCAAATGTAATTGAAAAAAGGTTAAATGTAATTCAGAAAGTATCAAATAACATTCAGAATAGGTAAAATAAAGTTGAGATCATGAAGATTCGAAAATTTTATACACGAGGTGCCACAAATTCGTGAAAATTTATGAGATATCGGATATGGATTGCTTAATTATTTTCCACAGTTTCGAATTTTGCATGATCTTAATTTCTTTTGACCTATTCTGAATTTCATTTGATGTTTTTCTGAAATACAATTACCGCATTTACAATTACATTTAACGTTTTCTCAATTACATTTGACGGTTTCTCAATTACATATGCTATTGACAATCATAATTAACGCATTCTGAATAACATTTAACTATTCTCAATAACTTTTGACGATTTTAGAAATACATCTAACCGTTTCTCAATTAAAATTGGAACAAATTCCCTAAATATTCAGATATCATATAAGTTGCAGAAGTTTTTTTTTCTCCAAACGTCAAAAAAACGTCACTTTGTTAACCCCTGTCAAGATGTCAGAAATTTAATTTCTATGCTGTTAGGTAAATCTAGCGGGTTAACACCTGTCGAGGTGGTAGAAGTTTAATTTCTATGCTGCTTGGCAACCCCAGCGACAGCAAAAGTACTTTTAGTGCCGCTCGTACTTTTACTGCCGCTCAACCATCCACTTGCCCCCGAGCTTACCCCATTAGTTTGGAGAAAAAATAGCATGTTGCATACGGAGTAGAAGCACTTTTTTGTGCTTCAGCAGTATTGCAAGCCTCACTACGTTCGGCTCGCAAACCTACTGCTTCAGCACAAAAAAGTAAAGCTTCTACTCCTAATACAACAATATACTATTTGCAGCAAAAATCATATTGATAAGTAGTGAAATTACATAACCCAAACATAATCAAAGTATTTCCATGAAGCAGTAGCGGTCGTAGTGGTAAGGAGAAGTTTAATATAGAAGCTGACTGCTTGATTTGTGGTAAAAGCGGCACTAATAAAAAGAAAAACTTAATATCTATTAGTACAGGAGTACAGGTAGGTACAGGGGGTAATACCCTGCTGCCGAAAAAATTGTTGCGTAGCTCCGTTTTGTTGGCTTTCTAACACAAGGACCACAAGGTGATTCCACCGAAAATGTTTTGCAACATAAAACACAATTATCCATGACGTCAATGTTAGTCCGTCTACAAAATGAAAAAATTTACGTGAAGTGTAAAAGAGAAATCTGTAAAATATAACAAATAATTGGACAAGTAGTAGATGCTCACTTAGACCAATCACAGTTGAAATTACGGGATAATACATACCGATAATTTATTATCGGCTCACAGAACAACCACCTAGGTACCTATTTAATTAATTTTTAAAGTTTTGACGTGTGCTCGTTCTCTTTTTTAACTTAATTGCATTCGTACTTACAAGTTTCCTAAAAATTATGGATATTTTCCAGTTAACTTTTTGTGTTACTAGTTACTGATAATATCATCTTACCTGTGCTATAACTCCTGATGCAAGCAGAACCCGATAAACTAGACTTTTTAAAATAGAACACAAAGTTCCATAAACAAGCAAAATTGACTGTCATATCATTGCATGCAGTCTACGGCATCACACGTAGTTTTTTAATGCATGCCGGTGGTTGACAGCGGGTAGGGGGAATGAGAGGGGAGCCACGCAACTTCTGCCGCCAGACCGCGCTTTGTTGCGTTAAAACGGCTCTAGTTAGTTTATTATTGAAAATAGGTCGTTATATAATTGAGAAAGCCAATTAAATTTGCCAGTTTTTGAGCAAAAAATTAAGTTAATACTCCAATATATAAAGGAGCTATCGCAGGTTAAAGCAGACATATATTTTACTCATTCGCGCCGTGCCTACGAAATAACTGATTTTTTGAGCTCTGGTACTAGTCTTAATAAATTATACCTCAATACCGGGTTGCTCCGTTAAACGAAGGCTTTTGCGCGCTTGGCCGCCGTCCTACAAATAATTTGTAAAAATGAGGCATTTTCTTTCAATTTTGGTGACCAAAATTTAATTAATGAAATTGAAATTCCAAAAAATACATCACGAGAGTAAAAGATCAATGTCTTCCCTATTATATATTTTCAGTAGAAGTCAATACCTTTTGTAGTTTTTGTGTAATCACCCTAGAGCTGAACGCCGATTTTGGGTAAATTTCAGGCGAATGAGTGGACTCCTAACCTTAATTTAATTTTTAGGTGTGCTTATTAATTATAGTTAAAATGCCAATTCGATTTTTTACAATAATATAATATTACTTTTATTCCTAAAATGTATTTTTATTATTTAACTTATAAATTTTTTCTAATAAAGTAATTTGTTTTAATAAATTTCATAGAACTTTTTACATATTTACTATTTTCTTTACTAATACCTATACCCACGGAAGTTTCCCCCAATTGCGGCGCCTATGAGAATAGTTTATCCCTTGCCTTCTATTGTTCTCGGTTTTGGGTTCTATTGTATTCTTCCGTCGAACAGGGTGAGGTATATAAAAATAAAGGATTTTTAACTGAAAAAGAAGAAAAAGTGATTGATCACTCAGTACAAAATGTATCCAAATTTGCATTTTTATTACTCTCTCTTCTTTATGAACGCACTATAGATACTCGGCCTTTCGACTAGTCGAAAGGGGCTGTTTTTTTTTTTATATGGCCCTTACTACCTGCGCCTTCATGAAACACTTATATGATTCCTATTTCTCACTCTAACAATGCTTTGTATATCAATAATTTCCGAAATAGTTGAATAGGCTATTAACATACAGTAATATGACTAAAATTTACAATAATTCGTTTTTCCAATGATATTCTCATCAATACATTGTTACGCATTATTGGAGATTTTTTTGATGATTTATTTAGCATCCTTCCTTCCATAATTAATGCCGATATTAATGCTAAATATATAATAAAAACATAATTTATCTGATTTACAAAAATGTTCCATTTATTTTCTCCACAATTCTTTTCATTTCATTTCATTTTCATTAATTTTTCATTTAAGTACAAGTACCCAATCCAAGTATGTATAAATAAAAAAAACTTAATCAATAATTGATGGATATACAATCTTAAAAAATATTATTTTTTCGAGCTTATTCTTACTTTCATAATAAATAATCATTTTTTTCATATAGGTTATTTTCTGTGGCCTTTCATTGAACATAAAATAATGTCATACATTTTCTTGACATTTTTAATTTCTCCAGGCACTTATAGGTTATACAAAAGATGGGCCATTCAAGCCCCACCCTGACTCAACATTCGTCTTTTCTATATACAATACGTCATATAAGTATGTATAATACAAATTTACTTAAAATCGCTTTTTTCGAGAGCAATAGGCTATTCTTCTGACAGCTCTTACGCTCTTCTTTTTCACCAAAGTTCATATGGGCAACTCGATTACAGGCCTGGGGAATTCTTCCAAAGTACACTCGTAAAAATCTGTCAAAAACTGTTCGTTGTCTGTCATTGGCATAGAATCGTCTTTGGGTATTGGCAAAGTAATGTCACGTGTGATAATTGCGCAGTTGCAATGGCAATTGTCTTTGGCTTTGCCACAGAAGCTTGCTAATTTTTCACTGCTATCAACCTGGAACAATAAATGAATTAAATTAGTAGGTATTTTGGAAATAAAAATAAATAAAATAGCAATTTATGGAACAAGTATGTAATGTGAAAAAAGGGGCACATACAAATTTTTTTTCTACTAGAGTAATGGGTACATATACTGATGATATTATAAAGCCATAAGTTTAAAATAATATATCACAACTTTACACCCTGGTTACTTTAGAAACTTAGGTATTTTACAACCTAGGGTTTAATATCATATTTTTAATGCGAAAAAGGTCATCAAAGGCTTTTATAATATTATACAATCTTATACTTGTTATTTATGCATTTTTGCAAAGAAACACTATAACAATTTATTAAACTTTTTCAGCGATTTTTTACGCACGTGTGTGTAATGTGAATTACTTTATGCACTAGTGCGTGACATCTAATTTTACGCCTTTTGAAAAGTGCGTGAAGTAAGTACTTTACGCACTGTAGAGAAACAATAGTATATTCTTCAATGAGCATATAACGATGGCTATTATTCGCGAGAATGAGAATTTTAACACGAGCCGAAGGCGAGTGTTATATTCATTCGAGTGAATAATAGCCATTATTTGCGAGTAGAAGACTATACTTTCTCTTCGAACTCTTTGAAAGAAAATCATTAATTTTTGTAAGAAATAACAACTAGGTATCAAAAGTTCAATTTTGTGATCTGATAGTAGACATCAGTCATGTTATGTTTGTATTGTCTCGTTGCGGCCCCGTGTATTCTGAAGATACGGAGAATTTGATTGGTCGATAGGCCGTGGATTCCGGTTCAGAATCCGCAGGGTGTAGAATTCGTATCATTAATCAGTTTAATATCGAGCAAGAATGAATGTATTATTTAATGTTCGAAGAGAGAAATATTTATGAACTAGTTGAATTGAATACGATAGAGTTTTAAAAAAAATTACCTGTATTACGGGTATGCAGTTTTCGTAGCAAAAAGCTTGCAGAAGTACGGCTTGGATATGCGTGGCCGCATCTCCTGGTCTGGTTGTAGGTAAGACGCAAAAAACGACGTCCTCAGGAGCTTTTTCCAACAGGGCTATGGCGGGAAAGAGTCCGCAAACTAAACGTCGTTCAACGCGTGCCTTTGTTAGGGTGGTCCTAAGAGCACGACCCAGTTGATTTCTGGAAAAAAAAATAATTATTAATCAATGAAGTTAAGTATGAATTTGAATAATATATAGGCTAAACTTTTTTTGGCTTGAATAGTGAAAAAGTTGAATTTGGTCATAGTATATATAGGAACCTCCTCTAATAATTATTATCCACATAGCGCACTAAATAACATAAACAAAATGTGGCGACAAAATCTCCAATATCGGCTTTAACCAATGGGAGGGAAAACGCCCTCTCACGTGATTTTTTGTTTAAATTTTTTATTTTAATTTAATAATTTATTTAATAATCTGACCGAGAATCTGACTAAAATCTTGCAAAATATTGTCCATTCTCGGTTCATTCATGTATCTGCGTCAAAAAATATCTTAATTTGCCATATTCCCGGCCCGTGAAAGTGGCCCATTATGAGAAATTAAATTAGCCATAAAGGTGAGAGATTTAGAGTTCTTAAATCAATTGGGATACCTACCCTTCAAAGCGTTTATGTAACCTAGTTATAGAAGTTGAAATAAAAAAAATCTTGCTTCGAGTTTCAATAAAACCTCTTTCTTTCTTTATTTCCACACAGTGAAAAAAAAATCAATTTAATTCCAAGACTCCCCAAAAAAATAATAAGCAGGTTTTTGCCCTACTCATTCCACTTTTGCCCCAGACAGACGCGACCTATCTTATCCCAAAATTCAACGACCCCAACTTCAAGCGTCGCGTCACCCTCTCCCAACCTCCGAAATCAGAATAATGCCCTTTAGCCCTTGGCGTCTAGACATATTTGGCAACAGCGCAGACATAAACAATACGAGAGTCCAGTCTATAAAGTTCTGTCTCGCTCTATTCTGAGTTAAACAGAAAGGGGAATATTTTGGATACATGCCATAAGTGGCGCCTTTGACCTTTCAGGACAAGGCCGGTTATTGCCCTTGCCCAGGTGACATTGACCTTAACTTTTTCACAGTGGAAATTTGTGTTGATGATAAAACAAGACAAGTTCGAACTCGTAAATAAGTGAATTAACTATTTAATAACACAATAGGCGGCCTCACTTTGAATTATTTACATAAACAAAATACTGATAGGCGACCTCATTGTCATTTGGCACATTAAACCAGAGTCAATTTGCAAAAAGTTGTGCAATAAATCATCAAATCCACCGAGATTTTTGACTTTCAACTCATTAAAATTTTTGACGTTTTTTTTCCTCTCAATATTGACCAATTAGATTAGATTTCTCAAAACTTTGCCAACGTTGGCCTATAGTGTTTGGAAAATGTTGCGATAATAGGTTGATTGTTGATTTATGTTGTGCAACTTATATATTTTTTTTCTCACCTGTTGATCATTTTGCACTTTTCAGCTGCCCTTGCGACGCACATATCTACAGTTGAGTTAATCCTTAGAGACTTGAAACCCAGTTTTGTAACTGAAAATCCACTCAAATTGAAAATGTTTAGGATTTCGTGCACTTCTTTCAAAAATTTACTCGCTTATCACAAAAAAAAAATCACTGAAATCGAAAACTTTCACTTCAAAAATAACAAAAATAGTGAATCTTTACGATTTATTCGTAGCGGGCTCGAAATACGAAACAACGTTATAGCGTTCGGTAAAATTGCGACTGTGACGTAGCCCGTGGCATGTTCCTTTTAAATAACCAAGTAGGCCACGCTGGTGGGGGCGAATTCCACTAGCTCGATGTGCCATCGCATCGACTAAGCGTTCGAGGAAACCCCAAACGGAAGATCATATTGCGCCAGGGGTAATTTTTCATGCTTGGAATTATTAGATGTTTAGGAAATACCTATTTGAGCTAAAAAGTGGATTTTACTTTCTGGGGAATTTCGACTTTTATTGATGTAGGTATGCTGAGGTTATTTATTATGGCAAATTGTATAGGTACTTCGTGTATTCATTCCCCATTTTATTTTAAGATCTTTCTCTTGAATAGTGTAGGTACTTACTTCTTTCTTATTTAAAGACTGATTTAGAAAATATGAAAGAATCCAAGTTTGGAAATTTCTAAGATCATGTTTTTCCGCTTCCAGAGTTTTCCGCCAACCTTTCACGTGATTCGCCGGTATTCTCGAAAATTATCTTACTTGAAGAATCTCATCTTCTACCTACCCTTTGGTGAACTTCGACCAGCCGTTGAAGATCCGCATCACTCACAGTGGCCAGTTCTACAAGGATACCAAATTCTTTTTTTCAGTTCCAGATGGGCCTCTTGTCTCTTCGGTAGCTTATCTGTTAGTTTATATCTTCTCAAGGAAGAAAGTGCTACTCGAAATTTTGATTTTCTTTCAGAAAAAGCTGTTCCATTTTTGGAATAATCAAAATATGCTTTTCTTTTTCACTTTCTGTATAGGAATGTCATGCTGAAAAGTCTCATTCTGGCACAGGGCAGAACCTTCATCGGTTTATAATTCTCCAAATTGGTTAGATATTGTCACGGATTTTGCGGGTCCACTTAAAACTCTTTTTACTAAAAATAACAACTTTTATGTATCGGGTAATTTGTTCGTTTTTTTTTTTTGCTAGATGCGGCAGCGTCAACGATCAAGTTCGAAAATTAACTCCAAAAGCATAATTTATTGATAATTATTATGTTCGTTTTACATTTTTTGTTCGATATCCCTCATCGATTGAATTATTGCATAAATAAAGTACGAGCATTAGTAAATACGGATAATCAAGTTTAGGTGTCTGCTCGTTCACAGAAGCGTCTATGTCGAGCAGTAAAATGTGTTCCGAATGACATAATTAATATTCATTTGACTTTGAAAATATAAACAGACTTGACATACGTCGTAAATTATAGTGGTAGCCTTTTATTTTTCCGAAAATGGATAAAAAAAACCAGTCCTTATAGGTTGTGAGAGGAACATTGCTTTCTCTTGAAGATAAAATGTTGTATTTTATTCGGTCCCAGGAGGGCTTTTTGAATGACATGAATAACTATTATTGAACTAACTGACAACAAAAATAACTTATTGCTTCCACTTCGGCTTCCCGGCACCAAATGTAGTTAGTTTCGTGGCCTTCCTCTCAAATCATATCATCCCGATATAATAATGTATTCTCGTGAGAAGCCTTGACCCTATACCTCCACTTAGATCCATAATCATTCCATATTATTATTCTCCATGTCCCTTATGCCATCAGTACTATGCGTTTCAGAGCCCTTAAAACCATATATTTAAAAATTATGTCTTCTAGATCTATATACGTTATACGTACATATATGTTTTTTCGCAGCAGATGGCCTCGCAAAAGAAGGGGCCTCAACACCATACCATGGACCAGAGCCCTAATGTTGTGGCTTAATGAAAAGCCACATCATGGAAGAACTCAACAAATGGGGAAAAGACCAACTGTCATCATATTGGAGGCATACTCCGGAACTAAGACAGTCAAAAAGGTTTATCACCCTTTCAGCAAAAAGAGCTGAACAGCTCTTAAACATGAGCAGACCAGACGTCAGATTGGTGGTAGGACTGCTCACAGGACACTGCCTGGTAAAATACCATTTAAGGTTGATGGGCAGAGCAGAAGACGATCTCTGCAGATTCTGCTCAGACGCAATAGAGACCAGACCGCAGAGCACCTACTCTGTGAATGTCCAGCCCAATCCTGCAAGAGGCTCAAATTCCTCGAGGGAGCAACACTGTCACCAGAAGAAGTGGGCCAACTGACACCCAGGAAAATAGCTTCCTTGGGCAGAAGTCTACGCTTCCTGGAGACAACTTAAGATGTAGAGTCACGTACAAAAATATCTGCAAAGGTAGCAGTGCTGAGCGGCTGAAAAGCAGAAACGACTCCGCCACAATCTACAATCTACATATTATGTTTTTCTTCATACTCGTAAATAATCATCTTCATCATTCCAACTATCCACATGCAATACATAATCTTCTATGCCTTCCTGTTCATCTAAGTAACTTATCCTGTCGTGAAGGGGTACGTAGCGTGGGGTCAGGAGGATAGAGACCCGCTTCGTACTTAGTTTAAAGTCTATTGGGGGCTTTGTGCAGTATATTTTTCGGATTCAAGGGGCGGAATTGCAGTTTTGTACCTATCGCGGTGATGTATTAAGAGTGCGCTTCTCGATTCTGAGAATATAGATATTTCGCGTTCGCGACTATACTGTTTCAATAAAAACAATTGCATCTAGGAAATTCTAACAAAAACTGTTTTCAAGGATATATTTTTGTGCTTATTTGACCAGTATAATTTTTTTGATATTTCTCATTTTATGAAAAATGTTGTCCATAAAATGAGAAAAATTTAAAAAAAAAATTACTGGGTCGTCAAACAAGCACAAAAATATATCTTTGAAAACAGTTTTTGTTACAATTTCCTAGGTGCAACTGTTTTTATTGAAACAGCATAGTCACGAACGCGAAATATCTATATTTTCAGAATCGAGAAGCGCACTCTAAATAAATCACCGCGATAGGTACAAAACTGCAATTCCGCCCCTTGAATCTGAAAAATATACTGCAGAAAACCCCATTATCTTAATTTATGGAAGAATATTTGTTTTTTATTATTATTTAGTGCCCCTAAATCAAGTGATGGAGTGGCATAGATATGAATGGCAGACGTTTATCCTAGCGTCCTTAAACTTGATAGTCATAGGTTAAAGTAATCAATTTTTTCATTAGGATCTTGACTATAATATCTGATGATGAACCAAAACTGCAATTCCGCCCCTTGAATCTGAAAAATACATTTCAAGAAAGCCACATTATTCCAGTATATTAAGTAATTTATGAAAGAACATTTGTTATTTATTATTATTAAGTGTTCTTAAATCAAGTAGGTAGTGGTTGGATATGAATAAATGGCAGACGTTTATCTTAGCGTAAACTTGATAGTTATAAAAAAGTTCTCGTGCCTCAGTAGCTACGCTAATACGGTACGCATTTATTCATTCCGTAACGTAAATGCCTATGGCACCTAGCACAATCCCATTGGTCAGATTCAAAATTTAAACCAATTAAACTTCGAGTGCCATACGCGCGTACGGAATGTAAATCAGTGCCATATGCACTTACGGATTGTAATATACCTAGTTATGCGTTATGCGCACGCAAAATCACGTCTCCAGCAGCTCGATGGGCCAAATATCCTGTTTTATTTTTATGATTGTCGGGCTTACATAGGTAGGTACTTCTATGGAGTTTGGCGTTGCGTCCTCTCTTTCGATTTTTTCAAAAATGTGTTGAACAAGAAATTGGCAGTTATTGCTTCGCCGACATTATTTTAATCAGATCTCTTGTGTTTATTTGGATGTTTAAAATCGACATGCATGCTGCGGCAACGTTGCTACCTTTGAATTGTAAATATTTTGAACAGAGTCTTGGAAAGTATGGAGCAAACCTAATGACTGAAAATTACGCTAGAAGATGGGTGGAAGAATTTGTATCTTTGACAAATTCACCATCACCATCAGCTTTCAGAATGTTGTTCGTCTAATGCTTTCTTAAAATAACGAATTTAGCACTTCTAGTTCACTGATTTTGTATATGTAAAGCTTTCTTGTTTGTTATATTATTCTTAGAGCAGGTAAAGCGCTGTCCTACGGACACAAGGAGTAGGAACGCGCCATTCTGCTATGAAACTAAAGTGAAGCAGGTGTTTGTACACCAAATGACAGGTAAACCATTGATTTAGCTATACCGCCATTATTTTGGATCTCAAAATACCTGGAAAAAAACGGCTTCAAATTCCAACTTCATGTTCCTACTCCTCCCACCTAGGAAATTACCTGCTCTAAGATATTATTCAATAAACATATTAACGCTTTCGCTCTGATACTATGTATATTTTCTGTGCTCACCGAAACTTAGATTGATACACCGTCTGTTTGTAATGTGTTATTAATACTTAGTTACCTAATCATTACTTTCGAAATTCCGTAAAAAAATTAGAAAATCACTACGCCATACTAGCACTTAATTTGAAATAGGTACAGTATTTACAACAGTGTTAAATAGATACCTATAGTTGAAGAATAATTGACGCTTAAGTCGTTTTCCGCTTAATAAAATTTTCTGTTGCAATAACTAGGTATCGGGTCTTCAAAAAAAAAACCAATCAAAGATTGCTTTGAATACGAAAACGTATGTCGCATTATTGTTTCTTTATTGGTCAGGATTTTTGACATGCCATTTTGACATTAAAGTTCATTGACAAAATTGAAGAAAATTATTGCTAAGACATACGTTTAAAAAAACCATAGCAATCTTTGATTGGTTTTTTTTTGAAGACCCGATATAACATTCCGTAAGTGCATATGGCACTGATTTTCATTCCGTACGCGCGTATGGCACCCGAAGTTTCATTGGTTTAAATTTTAAATCTGACCAATGGGATTGTGCTAGGTGCCATATACATGTACGGAATGAATAAATGCATACGGTACCGCTAACAATACGGTATTTGGGTGGTATTTTATAGTTCTCGGACACGAACAAAGACACAAAAATCCTCTAAACCCTTAGGGTTACTTTTCATGCATCCGTTTATCCGGTAATCCGATGATCCGGAAGTATTCCTATTGGTCCAATATTTTGGCGCCAGAATATTGGACCAATAGGAATA